TGCAGGAGTCCAGGTGTGGTTGAGTGGGGTCCCCTGGGCCAAGGTCTTCCCCAGGCAGGGGGATGTCAAGATTTGCCTGGAAGGGTCAGCCTCCGGCCTCCTTCGCGGTTGTCGGCAGGATGTTGTTACTGGTGGGCTGTTGGCCTGAGCCTTAGGTCCTCTTAGACCAGTGGACCTCACTAACGCCCCTGGGGCACTCAACCTGGTGAGTGGTTTCACCAGAAAGAGTCAGCGAGAGGGCCAGCAGGTGGGGAAGACCAGGAGGAAGAAGGGGAGGAGGGGTGAGGGGTGAGGGGCCAGGGGAGGAGGGTGGGACAGGGGAAGGAGGGGCTGTTAGAGGCAAGGAAGGGGGAGGCTGGGGCAAGCAGCTTTGCCAGATGTGCGTGGAAGACCCTTCCTTTTCCTACTCCCCAAAGCAGCAAGAAAGCATGTGGCCCTTGGGGCTGGTGGCACCCATCTGCAGCCACGAGGAAATTAGCCTTGGGAGAAACTGACACGGAGACAGCTAAGGAAGGACTAGCCCTGGCGCTTGGCCCACCTCCGGACCTCACTTAGGAAGACATCTCCTTCCTGTTAACCGTGAGCGTGTTCCTTGTCGTTGAAAGCAGTCACATAGATCAACCTGAAGAAATCAAAGCAGAAAGATCCTGGTCCTGTCGCTGCTGTTGGGGTCCCTGCAGGAGCTGGGCCTGGAGCCTCACCCATTGTTGAGCTCTCCAGTTACATAAATCAACATGTCCCTTTTGTGCTTGGGATGGCTTACTTTTTCTTTTCCAACCAAGAGAGTCCTTCTGTAAGTTCATGACTCTGGGCAGATCCCAAAGAGTCATCCTTACAGTATTTTCTGTGATAGGGACATTTTATTTTCAAAATCTCTTTATCAGTTCCAAACTCCAAAATGGACCCCAAACCCTGAGATCATCTTTAGTTTAATGCTAATGTTCATTGGGTGACAACACAAACTGATCTGTGGCTCCTTACGGTCTTTATTCCAGTTAGTGTGGATACTCATAAGTTCTATTCTAAAAAAATTAATGGGTTTAATTTTGTGGGGCTGCCTAGGCTTGCTGGAGGGGTTATGTAACACACAGTGCCTGCTCGATCTAAAATGCATGGAGCTCTAAATTCCCAGTCTGGTCCCAGGCATTGGCCACTTGAAGCCTGGAGTTCTTGGGGACTGGCCATGGGGACATTTGTCCTGGGCTCTGTTTCAGAGGGCTAGACCAAGAGTCTTGTTTCCCAACTTTTTCTTCCATCATGTCATTTCTTCTAACTTGAACAAAGGAGTTCCTAATTCATCTTGGACTGAAGTGTACTTGTGGCAGAATCCGCTCTGAGTCCGGGACCCAGTTGTTTTGCATCATTTCGGAGATGGTTCATTTAGACCRAGGCCTGCCTGGTGGTTCGGGACTGTGATGAATGTTGGGATCGTGAACAGAGGTTCACCAGCCGTGTCTTGACCTTGGAAATGCTGTGGTATTTTACGGTGTGTGGTGACATTTATGGGCCCATTTGGACATCCACAAAGAGGTTGATTTCCATAGATTAAATGTCAAGTTAGAAAGCGTCCGGGGTAATTGAATCCTTSAGCGTTGTCCACTCGATTCTCAGCTGGGCCATTGACTGGTTGTTTGGGTGCCATTAGGAGCCCAGGAGTGCAGGGAAAATTGCTTAATGCAGAGAGGTCAGCCTGGGAGCCCAGGGGGMGGGGAGCCTGGGTAGGATCAGGGATGGCAGTGAAATCTGCTCCCTTCAAAAAAGTGGCCTCATTTTATTTCTTTAAATAAAAGCACATATGTGGTTGGTGGGTGATTAAATGAAAATAAAAACCCCACCAACCAGGTTTCCCAGATGTTGGCGGGCTGTTGGTCTGTGTATGGACAGGAGTGAAACGGTGAAAAAGAATCCATGGTCGTGTAGGTGGAAGGGTTTACGAGACCTTGAGCCTGTGTCCATGGAGTTGGAGTGAGCGCCATTCACCATCAAGGGCAGCAAGAAGAGCCTCAGAGAACCTCCTGGGTGCTGAGTTGTATGTGTGCACTGACTGTTCAGGTGCAGGGGGGTCTTCAGTCCCTTGAGGCTGTGTTCATAGGAGGCCCTGAAAGCCAGGAGGCTGTRAGTGGGCCCACCCACACGGCCTCTGCCCGAAGACCTCCACCATGGGACGTCTGTCTGGTCTCTCTGAAGGTCCTGTGTCCTTGCAGTGATGGACTCTCTCCCTAGAACTCAGGGCTCTAACCTGTCAGTTAGGGTCAGAAGCAGGGTTACCTGCCTCGTTCAGCAGAGTCCAAGTAGACCTGCCCCTGTCCAGGTCTGGGGCAGGGTGGATCCAGGAGCAGACAGCATGGAAGGCCACTCCCAGATGTGCTTTGTGGTTAGGAGTTAGAACTAACTCACACACTGGCTATTGGTGGTCCCTCCCCTCCACAGGCCCCTCATGCAGGGTGACCATGGGTGCCTGCCTCCTCAGGCCCAGATGGAGGTCAGCCRTGCTGCTCGGCTTTGGAGGGGACATCTGATCCCAAGAAGGGGCACATGTCTCTTCAAGGGCAGGTGCCTTGCCTGTGGCGATGACGGATGACCGAGGTGTCAACATTAGGTTGAGCACGGGGACTTGACTGAGGGACTGCTCGTTTAGCCTGTGTCGGCTCGAATACCTGGGGGACCAGGAACAACCCTGGGGTTGAGTGGGCCATGTCATCTGGTCTCACGCCGCTGTCCAGGAAGAATGGCCAGGTAGGGGGAGGAGGAGGAGGAGGCAAAGTGTGCCCATGTGCTCTCTGCCCAGGCCCCCCGTCAAGGCCGGGAGGCTGTGGTCCGTCTTGTAGATTTCTGTCATACTGAATACAGTATGTCTCAGAAGGACCTCCAGAGCCCAGGATGACCTCATCTTGATTTAACTAGTCACATCTGCAGTGGCCTTATTTCTAGACGGGGTCACATTCACAGGATCTAGAGYTCAGGACTTCAACATCTTTTGGGGGGGACCCAGTTCAACCTGTATTACCTTGTTTCCCCTTTTCTGAGACCTAAAGAGCCATGACATTTTTGGGTGGCCAGCCCATGCGAGCAGGCAGTGAGCCTGGGCCCCACACTTRGAGGTGATGACGGGACTCTCGAAGGGCTGTGCTCTCAGGCACCAGCTTTTCTGAGCCTGGGAGAGGGGGTGTGGGGAGGCAGAGAGCCTCCCAGGAGGCTGGGGAGAAGGCTTTGTGGTTCTGCCTCAGCTCTAAGAAGCTGGCTCTGAAGGGGTGGGAGCTAAGGATGTGTCAGCTTTTACCTTGCTGTGACCAAAAGACCTGACGAGAACAACACAGAGGGAGGAAAGTTTGCTTGGGGTTTACGGTTTTGGAGGTTTGAGTCCATAGATGGCCAAGTCCATTGCTCTGGACCCAAGGTGAGACAGAATGTCATGGCGGGAGGCTGAGGTGGAGGAAATCAGCTCAGGACATGGCAACAGGAAGCATACAGGGACAAAACATAAACCCCTCGGCACACACCCAGGGTCCCACCTCCTCCAGCCACAGCCTACCTGCCCACAGTGACCACCAGTTAATCCCTTCARGTGGACTAACCCACTGATGAGGTAAAGCCTCTCCCAACCCTAAGCTTCACCTCTAAGCTTTCTTGCATTGTCTCACACATGAGCTTTTTTTTGGGGGGGGACCTCATCTAAATGGTAACAGAAACCTTGGGGCTCAGTCAGGCTCTGGGGGCTCCACTGGGAGCAGTGTCTCCRTAGTTCGTCTGCTGGGGCTTCGTGGTTGGGAGGCTCTGAGCCCACAGTGTGTGGAGATGGCTCAGGTTCAAAAGGGGTTCTGGCCCCTGCCATTTGGTCACGGAGTTCCTTYAGGAGTGTGTCAGAGGGGCCGAGGCCAGTGCTCGGGGCTGGGGAGGTCCTCCATGATCCTAGGAGGGTGGATTCTTGCCCTGGCCCCAGCACGCCCACCATACCTGCGTAGTGAGGCAGGCTGGTGTGTGGTGGACGCCCTTTGAAGTGGGTTCCCCCAGGTGGACGCATCCTCAGCCCATCAGCCAATGCAGAGAGAAGGTCCTCCTGCTGACAGCRAGGCCTGGCCGGCCACTGGGAGGAAAAGAGTCTCAGTGGAGGGCAGGTGACCCGGTGTGGCTCCCCCTGCCCTGCCCAGCCGGCCCTGAGAGGGCGCCAGCCCACTGCTCCCCAGAAATGGACCTGAGCAGCTTTCACAGGCTGCTCTCCCACATTCTCCCCTGCTCCCACTTTTGGGGGCCAGTTCAAGAGTCCTGAGGACATGCCGGCTGTTCCTCTTTGGCTACCTGGGTGCCCTGAYCCCCATGCTCTGGGCAGGGATGGAAATGGAGAGGGGCTGATGTCTGTGTTGGAAGGGGCCCRTTGGCCAGCCTGGGCTCATATGGCGACTGGGAGGCCGGGCGGGTTGGTGGAGGGGTTGCCTGGCACCTTGGGYAGCCCGTCTTCTGGACTCGGCTCAGTGGTGAATCTTGTGCTTGTTTCCACCCTGGAMGCTCTTGTCTTATTGCAGATACCCTCAGCCAGGGGAGTCGGGGTCCTCGAGGTGTGGTATTCCTCCTGAGAAGCAAGCCTGGGGTCTGGCCACGGAAGCCCCGGTGGGCAATCCCATCGTCAATGGGGATCATGGTAGGGGCAGTTGGAAGCTACGTTAAAGGGCCTAGACAAATGTCCTTAGAATTAAATCACTGTATTTTTAATAAAACATACTTAGAAATTCCCAAAGTTTCAACAAACATACCAACTAAAAAGAAAGTCAGGGAATTTATTTTGCCGTATTGGTTACATTAGCCAAGAACAGGGGTGCTGCATGAAGGTTTCAGAATAGGCACCAGTGAACCCAGAGAATCTAAGGCAGCCTCTGTGTTCTCTGCATGTCTGAGGAGCAAGACGAGGGCGCTCCGTGCTCAGGACGTAGGGGTTCCTCACCTGGGCAGGCCCCAGGTGCCAGCTGGTCCCTGTTCACTGCCTCGGCGGGCAGGGGCTGCGGGGCTCAGTAGATGCCTTGCTTAGGCCAGCCCAGCTCTCGGGCATAGACCCCCTTGCAGCTTCTGATCTCAAAGTCAAGTTGCAGGTTCTTGTTCAGGCCTGGCACCGCCGACCTCCAGCCGATGAAGCCCTGGGACGTCTKTGGGACTGGGGGGGACGGAAGGACCTGAAGTGGAAATACAGATTAGTCACCTGGGACCACAGCCATGTGGGCAGTGTCTGCCAAGGTCCCCAGTAACAGCATCCATGAGGCTGGGCATGGAAAAGACAGACACAAAAGCCACATCCCTAACACATCCTGAGCGTGTGCACATCCCTGGTCGCAGCCGCGGCTCACCTCTTTCCTGAAGGTAAAGAACACCRAACCCGTTTGTTCACTGTCTAATGCTTTGCATACTTAATTTATGCAACTCATGACATCCAGTAAAATAACCTTTATTTAGTGAAAGAGTCAAAAAAAGTTAAGGCTCAGAAGTATCAAATATTACAGTCCTCACTGTCCTTTATAAAATATAGCTCGATATATTGTCAGGTGGCATCCTGGCAATATGGATACATCTTSCTACCCAAACTGTGGGAATGAAAAGCAACTGAAATTAATTTAAAAATCAAAAGGAAACAGGCTTCTATCTGAAATGAAAAAGCACAGCTTCCTTCATCCATTCCTCGGGAACACTTGGAACTTTGGGAAAGTGCGGGTACGTTCCCTCCTTTTAAACTAATTCGTTCTGCTTTCACACGTGTTTGCACAAAAGCAGAGAGGAGGAACGTTTGTCCTCGCAGAAGAGCTTCACCGGGCCTGGGGCTGAGCCCACTCTAAYGGGATTCTCCAGCCAGACCAAGGGGGAGGTGACATCCCAGGTGGCCGCCACTTGTGGAGGAAGCCCCTTCACACATGTTCTAGAAGAAGTAGGGAAATTAATCTGCTGAGGGCCACAGGTAGGGAGGGTCGCCCCCCAGAGGGCCTGAGTGTCCCCGAGCCAGTTGTGGACGCTCCCATTCAGTAGGGAAGACAAGCCAGTGCTGCCCACCTGGCCCGGCTCTGGGAGCAGACCAGGGCTTCAGTCTCTCTCCAGAGCAAAGAAGGGACGCAGGGAACACCAGCCCGCGATGTCCCACTTCACCCCCTAGACGGGCAGGGACACCGACACTGTGCTAACTAGGGCACTGCAGGATTAAGAGCAGGATTGCAGTCATCACTAAAAGTGGAACTGCAGTCGCTCAGCACGTGTCCCGACATCCCCATGTCTGCACACCCCGTGCCAGCCTCAGGGGGAGGTGTAGCAGCCATGGCCATAACCCCGTGCCCCCAAGGGGTGTGTTCAGTGCAGCTTTGACTGCAGGCTCCGAGACGCAGCAACCCCAGGACAGGCTTCTAAGAGTCACAGGAGCAGAAAAGGGTGTCCAGTGTAAGAGAATTGGGTGACAGGGTGGCAGGGCTGGAGGCTGCCCAAGCTTGTCTCTGTAGTCTACCCAGGTAGGGACACAGCACTGGTGACAGTGGCRCCCAGAGCTGCTCACAGGCTTTAGGTATTAAGGTCACCTTTAACAGTGAATTGCTGGGCAAAGTTAGTCACCCAAAGGGGACAGGAGGTGGAAGAGGGAAGCCATGWCCCTTTGCTGGGCAAGTGCAGAGTGAAGCCGAGGCCACTTCCTTTCCACCTGTCTCAGGGTCCTTGTCCCATGCACTGAGTCCCACCAGCTCTGCCTGGTGTGTGYGGCTGGGACCTCTGGCTTGCTGTGGGGCAGGAGGCTCCCCGGAGGAGCCACATGCCCTCTTCTTCCCTGTGGCTGGCCAGGAGGGGATTCTGCTCTTGTTCTGTGTCCCTCGGACCTTTGAGAGGGGGTGATGCTGGTTGCAGCTGCCACCCCTGGGCAGGCACTGGGACATTTGTGGCAGAGGGAAGGCCCAGCCCAAGTACAGGCRAGGCATTGGCAGGGGCAGCTGTGGCTGAGAGACAGCAGAGGGGAACGGAGCCCTGGCCACGGTTCTTTTCTGGGTCGGGGGGTAGAGAGGTGGGACCTGCAGGAGCTGGCGGTAGGAGGGTCTCACAGGCGCATGGCRCACGGGAACGCCTCCGGGGGAGCATCCCCAGTGTCGGCTCCTGGTGACAGTGTGGACGGGGGTTTGGTTATCTTCTTATTTATATATTTTTTTATATTTCTAAAGAGTTTTTAACAGTGACTCTGTTACCTTGTCATCAGGGAGAATCCTCCACAGGTCTCAGTGGTGTCCTTTCCGCCCTTCCCCGTCCTCCGTCCTTCTTCCTTCTCCGCACAGGTCCACACTCACTGAATGCCCCTGAGTGTCCACCCGTGCCAGTGCCCATCGGRCCCCAAGGACATGCCAGGAAAAGGGAGTCCCTCCATCTGGTCCCATCTGCCCCTTGGTCATGGGTTTTGTCCCCTCTCCCCATCAGCCATGGAACACCTCCACAGTGACAGAGGGCAGAGCCCAGGAACAGCGACAGGCCCGCCAGAGGAAGCCTGYGGACACGCAAAGCTTAATGATTTCTAGAGGCATCTGGCTCAGGTCCTCACTGGCAAGGTCTCGGGGGGACACCATCATGTCCTCTCTTCTCTGGGACTGTGAGGTCACTCCTGCTCTCCATCCTACATCCATTCTCTCCTCAGTGACCAGAGCAAGCTTCAGACCATCCCACGGCCCTGCTGGCTGTATCCCGAGGCTTCCATTCAGACCAGACTCCAACCCCAGCTCCCCCTGCCTCCCAGGTCCAGCCTCTCTGTCCCCACCTGCCCTCCACCCAGTGCATGAGTCTCCAGCCACAGGCCACCCTTTGCTGCCCCTGAAACAGGMCAAGCTTTGGCCTCAGGACCTTGATACGCGCTGTTCCTCTGCCTGGAATGCTTGGCCCTTGCCATCCCCCAGTCCTGAGCTGAAYAGGCATCTCTGCAGGGGGCCGCCCCCACCCAGCCCTTCTCCCCGTCACTTCCCCTGGGGTTTCCTGCACAGTGCCCCAGTGCTGGCTGCGTGTCTGATGTTGGCTCCCACCCAGGTCTGTGGACTGGCCCTTGTCTTCTTGCTCACCACCATGCACCTGGTGCCTGAGCACTGCTGGCTGAGCAGCCTTACAGGTGCGGGGTCCTGCCAGGTCCTTCCCACACACCACCCTGAGCTCTGGCAGGTGCTCAGCTGAGCCCATGACAGTGGTGCTGGGGAGGAACTGGAGACAGAGAGGCCAAGAGACGCGCCCAGGACCACAAGGAGGGGAGCAGCGGCGCGGGACTTGGACTGGGGGTCTCATTTTGGAGCCCCCCCTGCCCTGTTTTCTGGGCAGAACCCCTCATGTCCTTGGCCTGCCTCTGTGTCTGCTTTGGCAGGTGTGATGTGTCACCTGCTGTGGTTCCACATCTGGGCTGGAAAGGGTGTGGGCGCCTTTGGCAGTTGAGTGAGACGGCTTTCAGCCAGGGCCATTTCTCACTTAGGAAACTGAGAATTTTATCGCGACTTTGCAAACCTTGATGTACTTCTCCACAGGGGTCATTTGCCGGATGTGGAAACGCTCCGGAAGCTGGATTTTGGGCTTTGGGGTGCGGGATTCTTCTTCACCCTCGATCAACTGAAAGATAATCCAGAGATGGAGGCCTCAGGCTAAGGCCCCCTACCTTCCCCCCCAGAAATCACACTTGACAGATGACAGACGTGGGCTTGGGATGTTGGGTGGAGCCAGTCCCAGTCACACAGCCTGAGCAGCGTGTGGGGACAGCGCACATGCCACCTCGAGGACTGCTCCCCTCCTCCTGATCGTGGAAGACCGCTAGCTCAAGTCCTGTGCGGTGACAGGAGCAACCCTCACGGGCTCTGGACTCAAAGGAAAAGAATACCAATGTCTCGAGACCAACCTTCCAAACCGTCTAGGAGAGCCCCCTCCCCCCCCTGAATAGTTAAAGCAATTTGAACTCTGAAAACCCAATTTAATTACATATAAGGACTATTAACATAGACTGATTTTATGCATATTATAATAATAAGGCCTCATTTATGCATAAAATTTCAAATTGTATAACTCTAAGAATTTTAAAAAACTCGTTAAGAGTGGCATAATTTCAAAGCCAGTGTGGGGGGTGCTGTAGATGGTTCCCACTGTCTTGAATCACAGTGTTTGARTGATGTGGCTCTTGGGTGCTGTGTCCCTCCCAAGAAGGGTGGCTTYGTGGTTTGGGACAGAGGTCCTCTGAGAAGTGGCAAGCTGGCCAGCACCCAGGGAAGCCCATGTGAGCCTTTTGTGTGTCTACCTGGTGTTTTTGTAAGTCACGTGCCCTGGACGMAGATACTTGAACAAGGAATGTCTTGAACAAGGGGGTGTGTGCCTGGCCCTCGCTGGGCTGGCGGTGGCTGCCTCTTTGCCAGYGTCCCCACCGCTTCCTATTAATGGTGTTTGGCCTATTCTCCTGCTTGTCACCTGCTGGGCTTGCAGTGCCCCTCACAATCACCCACTTCACAGATAGGAAGGGTGAGGTCAGATGGCCGTGGAGCTAGACCCACCAGCTTCTCTTGTTGGCATGTCCCTTATTAGTYGTGGGACTTCGCAGTCCTTTGAGACCAATTCCTGATCTGTTCAGAGGACATAAATTAGCAGCTCTTTCTGCACAGGGCCTTGATGCAGATTAAACAAGCTGGTTCTGCTGAAGTACTCAGCACGTGCCTGGCACATAGTAGGTGCTCAGTCACTGGTGAAGGCAAGGAGATGTCTGCTTTCAAGCTTAATGACCTTTGCCTACCACACACTCTTTAATCCTATTCTGGCACTTGCTAACCACTCGGTCTCCAAAATGATGGACTCTGTGATGTCCAGGTTGATGCTTACCTCCTCCACAGGGGTTGTTAAAAATCCCCAGTTCTGGGGCCAGTTTTTCCGTGCTTCGGACTCAGCCTTCAGACGGTATTTCCTGAAAAAGAGAGTTCCTGGGTGCCAGGCGATATATGATAAAGGTTCCAGCCACAGACTGCAGAAGAGCATAAACTTCCCTTCTTTGTGTGCACTGAATGGGTGGTGGTTATGCTGGGGATGGAGCTGGGAGCCAGAGAGCCCGGGCCCCAGGGCTGAGCAGGCTGAAGGAAATGAGGCACTGAGGCTGCTGCATGGGGGAGTTGGCAGAGCCAGACAAGGACGGGGCCACTCCATGAGAGGGGACTGAATAGCCCCTGGCCCTGGTGCCCCACAGTCATGGGTATACATTAAGTAATTCTGTAAGTACCCTGTTCCTCCAGGCAAGGTCTGGCATGAGGGGGCAGGATTTAAGAAGGGGCTCTGTCCTGCCTGACTTGATGCCCAGCCCCTTCTTAAATATCACATCCCAGGGGCCTCGCTCACTAGGTAACCCAGCCTGTTTTCCTGCCATGTTGAATATGATTTCTACCTAACTACCTGGGAGCTGAGCTGAGCTGCAGTTGGCAAGCTGGTGTGTCACATTTTGCAGATACCCAATTAAACATTACTTGTTTCGATTTTTAGTTCCTTCTGTTTTGGAATCAATATCTGCACCTCTCCCCCATCTCAAGGGTTTTGGAGGCCCTGACCAAGCTCTTGGCCCTAAGCATCTAAGGCAGAATCTGTTTCTAACAGAGATCTAACAGGGGCCAAAAATATGAGTTGCATRTGTAATTGGTAAATTTTCGTGTAGCCATATCGAAAAGAAAGCAACAATCACCAAGYGATGTTAATTTAAATAATACCGTTTTTGCATGAATCTTTGAAATCTGTYGTGTATTTTACACTTATAGCTAATTCCATTTTGGACCAATAGCTGTGTTGGACTTGGACAGCACAGTCTAAGCTCTTAATAAGGCCCGGTTCACAGAGGAGGGSCCATCTGATTTGGGCACTGAACCATGAGTAGGAGGAGTTTGCCTGGTGAAGGAAGGAAAGGGCATTCCAGGCAGAGGGACAGTCCCTGCTGGGGATACTTGAATGAATACAAAGATTTTTTTTTTTAAATTAATGTTGTGGTAGGGATCACCATGCTGGTTTTCCATATGTGAAAGTGATATAAAGTTTTCAATAATTTTTTTTTCAGTGAAACAGCCAAATTAAACATAAATATGGAGTGACTTAGGCAGGTGTCTCAGGAAAAGGATGACAACACAGARCTGGGGTGTAGGCAGCTGAAGTTGAGGGGTGAGCAAGCTTGAGCTGACCCTGAAACTCCCGTGCATTCAAATCAGCAGCTGCCCCTATGGACTGCTTTGAAAGAGATGGAGTAACAGTAGCAGTCCTCCGGAATGCCACTGCAGGGTCTGCTGGCATCCATCGGAGAGAAAAATGGATCTAGTTTTTAAATTAAAATTTCTTAGTACTTAAAACTACAGGAAAATTGAGAAATAAAGTGCTTATGTATTCTCCTTCTAATTGAACAATTATTGACAGTTTTGTTTCTTTTTAAAAAAAATCGGTAAATCTTAAAAATAGCACTTCCTAACTGGCCCCAACAGGCAGACCTGTGCAATTGTTCCAAAATCTTTCCCACTTCACCGCGGGCGGACAGGAGTTGGGGAGAACCCTGCGGTGGCCCTCTGTCCCTATATTGTCCCCTTTCCTCAGGGTGCTCCACTGACCTCTGAGCACTCCCCTGGCGCCCAGAGGTCCACCATCTCTGGACTTGGTGGGAACCGAAGCTGCCAGGTGAGGACGGCCCGTCCCGGGGTAGAGGACCCTGCCCTTACCAGATCTCGTCCTGGGCCACCAGGTTCATGCGCTCGGCGCCCGCGGTGCCGAGCTGTCTTTGAGCCATGGGCCCCGAGTTTCCGTGCACGAGCGTGCACGCTCAGGACCTGGGCTCTGCGTTTCGAGGCTCGCGTCTCCTGTCGCTAGGGAGACCGGTTGCCAGGCAACGTAGGACGCAGGCAGAGGCGGTGCGCACCTAGAGTGGGTGGGGCGCTGGGCGCTTGCTGTTAGCCTCTGCTCTCTGCTGGCGTCGGAGCCCTGGGTGCACCAGCCTGCCCACGTGCTGCTCCGAGGGACACCTCTAGGCCTGACACCTCTCCAGGTTTAAATCCCTTCCTGCAACGGAGCCGCAGTTACAGTCCCCACCAGGGCCTTGTCCACGACCCTGCAGAGCGGCTCCTTGTGACCTCCATGTGATCTTCCTGGAGGTGGAGTCATTCAGAGGCCCACTGTGTGCTGGCCTCGATTGCCCAGTGTTACTTTGCCCAGTGTCCACCCGCCCMGTGGCCAGTAGCCCTCTGTTCATTTCTACCCCTGAATACAGTTCCATCTGGGGTTCCTAGACATAGTATGTGAGTCTTTGCACTCCGTGAAAGGCCTGCKCTGAACATCACTGCACGTGCCTTTTGGAGAATGTATGGATGCATTTCTCTGGCACCCACGCTCCAAGATGATCCCGAAATGAAGTCGATTCCCAGTTGCTCTCACCCCAGACCCAGCACCTGTACTGCCTTCCTCGGTGCTCATCAGTGCTGGTCACGTTTGTTGATTGGCTCACCAACAGGGCTTGGAGGCCACTCAGCTGGGGTTGCCCTCTCCTGATGAGCCCACACCAAGCAGTGGGTGCTCTTTTTGGTGTTGAAATGCCTGGCCAAGGTCCAAGTTTGGGACGTCCCTACTGCCCACCTGGACAGATTAGCGATGGACCAAGTGGGGGCTGGAAGTGTCTGAATCAAACTCAATCCATAAATGGCTCAGTCATGTGGCCGAGCTGCTAGGGAGGCCAYGAGCTGGGCCGGCTGTGCAGGTGGACAGGTCTTCAGGTGGACGGGGCATTCTTGTCTTTTCTYCAAGGTAGATGTTCYGGGAAGAGTTAAGAGACCTTCCTGWCGGGTGAGGGGGAATTCTGCTCCCCCTTGGGAAGCTCCTAGCATAGTTCTGTTCCCAGGATTAAGTGAGGATAGACTGGCTGGCTGAGTGTCTGCCTGCGCCTGACATGGAGGTCATGCTACGTGTGCAGCAGCCCACGTGTCTGATGCCAGCTGAGCTCTGGGGACACTGGAGGGAGCTRCAGCGACAAGGAGTTGCCATGCCAATGTCCACTGTCCTCAGAAACTGAGGTGGATGGATAATGCACACGTGGGCACCCACATGAGACATCGTGCCAGGGGGAGAGACATGCTCTGGATAAGGTCAAATCAGGGTATGGCGCCATAGTGACAGGGACAGGGGAGGGATGTGGAGGGACTCTTAGAAAAGGGTGGTCAGGGGAGGCCTCCCTGAGGAGAGGACCTGAGTACAGATCTGGTGGGGAGGGGCTCTGAAAAGGGATGGAAAAGTTGTCTGTGGGGCAGTGCAAATGTCCTGGGGAAGAGGCACTGTCAGGGGGTTTGAAGAACCCTGGAAATGAAACAGGGAGAGTTTCCTGGAAATGGAACAGGCCAATCCCCTGAGCTGGAAGTCAGTCTGGCAAGACGAGTGTGGCCCCGTATGTGAGATGACAGGTGTATGTATGTGATTCAGGGTGAACAGAAAAGTGCACAGGAAGTGATGAGTGGGCTGGGTGTTGAAGGATGCACGAGAGTTCACCGATGTCCACTCTCCCCAGAAATATCTGCACAGGGGAGTGCGTCCAGGACTAGAGTTCTGTGGTCAAGTGGACAGGTTTGAGGAGGTGACATGGGCTCAGCTCTCTGCTCTACCTCTTCCTAGTGACCGTGGACAAGTTGCCCACCCTCTCTGAGCCCTAGTTTCCCCATCTGTGGGGGACCCCCTTCTCTCTGTGAAACAAGAAATTCGTGGGTCTCTGGAAAACCATTTCTGCACCTCATACTTTTAAATTTTCTTGACAAAATTGCCCTTCAGCAGAGATTTCAAGTGGGAAGAGCGGAGAGCCTGGGGGGACGGCCACCCTGCCGACTGCGGGTGGGGAACGGAGGCAATATTTACAGCCCGCACGAGGTTCGCCGTGTTCCTGTGTATTAATATTTTTTGGCCTTCTCTCAGTTCTTGGGGACAGTTTATTTTTTATTTTTTTCATTTTGCTGTTGCTTTATAAAACATTTTGACAGCGGACGCCAACTGCTTCTTTTTTAGTTTTTAAGCTTAAACAGTTTTCTTTTTTATTGGATGTTTTTTTTTTCTGTAACCGAAGCCAGCTTGGTGGGTGCTTGGTTTCTGCCAGCAGGGCCCCCATTGCCACAGCATGGGTGACACTCAGGTGCCCCAGGGCAGAGGCCAAAGCCTCGTTCTCAGAGAGTCAGGGCAGGGGTGCTTCTGAATGCCTGGCGGGGCCTGCGGACCCCGAGCTCTGTCTTTGCGCGCCCATCGTGTGCCCTTTGCCTGGCCCAAGCCTCTGCTCTTGCCTCCAGGCCGTCCCCATGCCCCCCCCCCCCCAGGCGGCTGGCATCATCCAGGGCTTGGGGAGGAGGAAGGAGCCGCCCCCCATAGTGCCCTGGAGACCACCCTCACAGGCCCTCTCCGTTTGGCCCACTGACCAGTTACTGCTCCAATTAGGGCCCCAGCAGGCTGAGGCCCTGAAGCTGCCCTTGGCCTCCCTGGCCTGCCCTCCCAGCGCCCAGCATGTGAACAAAGCCCAGCCCCAGGCCCACCGCGAGGGGCAGGGAAAGCAAGCAGAAGCCAGGGAGACTCAGTTTTGACCAAACTGCAAGCCGTGGCCATCTAAGGTGGGAAGTGCCCAGAGGCTGGGGCAGCACCTGGGCTGCCCACCAGCTTCCCAGTGGACACACATTTCCCCCACCTCCAATCCCTCCCGGTGGGAAGTGTGCCGTGTCCTGAAGGTGTCAGACACAAGCACCAGCTGAGCTCCAGGGCTCTGGGTGCCTAATTCCTGTTGTTCCCTCACTTTCTTTAGCTGGGCTGCCGACTGGGGGCTTTGAGGCCCCCCCCCCCCGGGTGGGGGAGACTGCCCACAGAGGGTCAGAGAACATCGTGAAGGGAAACTGGAACAGTGGGTAGAAGGGGCTGGAGGGAGATGGTTCCATAAAACGACAGCCTCCGTTCCTCACTCACGGGGACCTGGCTAACTCCTCCCGACACCTGAGGCCAGAGGACAGGACAGCTGTGCCCGGCTGTTCTCTCCTTGATTCAGTGTGTTTACCAAGTCTCTCAAACGCCCTGGGCCTTGTGCCAGGTCCCTGGAACCTAGCAGGGAGCAGACAGACTGAGTTCAACCCTCAGGAGGCTCCCTGCACCAGAGGAGATCCAGGGATGGTTATAAAAACGCACATGGTGACGTGGAGTCAGGAGGGCTCTTGGTGGTTGGTCAGRGCTCCCCAGAAACAGCAGAGGAACTGGGCCTGCAGGCCTTGGGGTGCAGTGAGCCCATTTTCCATTGCTAAAAGGTGACACCTGAGGCTGGGTAATCTGTAAAGAAAAGAGGCTGATTGGGCTCAGTCCTGGAAGTTCAAGAGCACACTGCTGGCCTCTGCTCAGCTCCAGCGAGGGCTTCGTGGCGGACGACATGAATGGCAGGGGCACAGGCAGAAGAGATCACGTGGTGAGACAGGAAGCCAAGGGGGGGGAGGCCAGGCTTGCCTTTTTTTTTTTTTTTTTTTTTGGTACCAGAGATTGAACCCAGGAGCACTTGGCTAATGAGCCTCATCCCCAGCCCTATTTTGTATTTTATTTAGGAACAGGGTCTCACTGAGCTGCTTAGCACCTTGCCTTTGCTGAGACTGGCTTTGAACTCGAGATCCTCCTGCCTCAGCCTCCCGAGCCCCTRGGATGACAGGTGTGAGCCACTGCGCCCGGCTCGGTCTTGCCTTTTATAACGACCCTCTCTTTAGAGAACTCGCCTGCGTTTCCTTCCAAGAGCCATGAGCCCCAGTGTCCTGGCCTCCTCCCACAGGCCGCACCTCCTAAGGTTCCACTTGTCCCACCACTAGGCCAGGGACAGAGCTTCTAAGGGGGACAGTCCACGCCTAGACCACGGTGGGGGTGGAGGAGGTGGCCTTCCCGTCAAGAGCGGGGGCAACAGTGCGTCTGACGGCCGGGTCTGGTCCCACGTGCAGCCTCCTCACCTGGGACACATTTCAGGACTCCCTACGTCCCCGCTGCCCCCAGATGCAGCTCTGTGACCTCCTCATTGCAGGAGCCTCGAGGAGGTCAGGGCTGAGGCGAGGCCTRGAGGGACAGAGGAGGAAGGTGTCCRTTCCTGGYGCTGTCCTTCCTGYGCTTCCTGGGACTTCATGCAGGAGATCCTCGGCGGCCTGGCRTGCGATGGATCCCCCACGCTCAGAACAAAGGGGATCTGACCATTGGCTCTGGAATCTCTTCCCTCTGCTGCCCCGGGGAAGGCTCTGTGGCCAGCTTCCTAACATTTCTGCCTTAGTTTGCCTGGTCCAGGTCCCCGTGGGCCCTCTGCTCACCTGCAAACGTCCACTGTTGCTGCTTTAGCCTGGGCCTGGGCAGGTCCTGAGGATGCCCTTGGGTAGAGCACGCCCATGGCCCTCGGGGCGGGAGAAGTGTCAGCTTCTGGAGCCTCGGGAAGCCACCCAAGGGGCCACAGAGAGCATGTCCAGGACTCTGGGGATGACCTCTTGGCTGCCCCTGAGTCCAGGGAGCACCTGGACTGTGCCTTTCAAGAGCTTCGTTCTCCTTACTGTGGTGGGAGTGTTTGGTTCTCAATCAATAACAGCCATGATGGTAGAAACAACAGCTGGAATTTGTCAGGCACCGAGGCCATGAGTATCTCCCCAGCACCACTCACTGCACTTCAACCTCTCAGTGGCCTTGAGCTGTGGGAACCAYGCACGTTCTTCTTTTGCAGAGGCAGATGCAGAATCAGAGAAGTTAGGTCACTTGCCCATGGTCACACAGCTAGAA